TTTTCTTTGACAGAATCTCACTCTGTTGCTCAGACTAGAGTGCTGTGGCATCAGTCTAGCTCACAGCAACCTCAAACTCCTGGGTCCAAGCAATCCTCCTGTCTCAGCCTCCTGAGTAGCTGAGACTACAGGCATCCTCCACCATGCCCCACTAGTTTTTCTAATTTTAGTAGAGATGGGGTCTCTCTCTTTCTCAGGCTGGTCTCAAACTCCTGAGCTCAAGGGATCCTCCCACCTCAGCCTCCTGAGTTCTGGGATTACAGGCATGAGCCCCTGGGTTCCACCTGCTTGTAATTTCTTGAATACGTTTAGCTGTTTTATGCCTCTGTATGTTTTCTGCTTCTACAGCCCTTCTCGTCACTTCTCGGCCCATACTCTGTCTAGTTTTCCCATTCTGTTTGCTTTTCTTCTTTCCCATTCCGTCCTGCCTTCTGCTCCTTTCTCCTCTTCCTGACTGATGGCTAACAATTATTCCATGCTTACTATGTTCCAGGCACTGTGCTTAAGATTTCACACATTTAATCCTCACAACAAGTTTATGAATTCAAGTTTATTATATTCTTCTGTTTTTCCCACTTTTCAGATTGAAAATGGGTCAGAAGTTTGAGCAACTCAGCTAGGTCACATGCCTACTAATTCTGACATGGATTTGAACTCAGATTTCCCCAGCTCTGCATGTCCAATGCTCTCTGTGTGCTATCTCCTCCAGAGAAATTTCCCTGACAACTTCCCTTGTCTGAGTGTGGCAGTAACTTTCTAAAGTGATAACCAGACCTGTACTTTCTGCTTCTTGGGCCGTAGCTGGGTTGCTGTTCCTACCGTCCGAAGTAGGAACTGTGACTGAGTTCTGGCCAATGCAATGTGGGAGGAATAATAGCAAGCCGCTTTCAGGGATGGCCCCTGAGGTCTTTTGGGTCATCTTCTACAGTCTGTCCTTTTGCAGAGCGGTGATAAAATGGGGGGCTATTCTGGGTTTAGATATTTCACCTCTTTATTGTGGAAAATCAAAAACATACAAAAGTAGAGAATAGTCCATATATAAGCCCTATTTCCTCCCACTGTGTGCCCAGCTCCAGACATGGGGTGCACACAAATGACCCTGCCTTGTCGAAACCTACCTGCTTCTTATCCATCCTCCCCTCATTGGGTTATTTCAAACCAAATCACATCATTTACTCTGGTTTAATACACATTTAATCATGTACATTTAATACATCCATGCTGATAACTTTAGTATAAGCTCTAAAAATCTGTATCTCTTATCTCTTATCATAACTACAATGCTATCATTTATATCTAAAACATCCATCTCCTCATGTTAGTGTACACATTTCCCTTAGTATGTTGTGATTTTCTTTTTCATCACTTGATTTGTTCAAGCCAGCATCCAAACAAGGCCTGACCGTTCCTTTTGATGCATACGTCTCCAGTCCCGTTTCTTCCCCTTTTTGCAGAAGGGGTGCATGAGATAAATACATTTATAAAAATCAAAGCATAATTGAGCTATCACCATAATTATTTATGCTAGAAACATTGGAATTACTTTTTCTCTTTCTCTTTCACCGTGTGTTAGAGAAAGCGGGTCATCTGGTCCTGTAGAACTTTCCTCAGTTTGCATTTTTCTGATTGCAGGCCCCTGGTGTTATGTAACTTGGTCCTTTGTCTCATGTATTTCCTATAAACAGGCAGTTAGATCTGGTACAGGCAGTTGGATTCCATTTAGATATGTGTGGCTGGATACTTTGCCAGAGGCAGGGCTAATTTCCGTCTGGAAGCACCCCCCAGAAGGAAGTACCCCACAGGAGGAAGCACCCTATCCTGGGCTAGTTGTGATGCTAACCAATGTGTAGGGCAGGCAACAACCCAACAAAATGGTGTTCTTTTATTTCTTTCACCCATATTTATTGGAGGAAATCTCACATTAACTATTTGGAAACTCAAAGACTAGTTTCTACAGGAAAGGCCAGGGATAGAACTCAGGGACTACAGCCTTTGCCAGGGGTATTATTGCTGTGGCAATTATTATTTCTAGGCCTTTGTAGCAGACAGACCTAGGAAATATATATATTTTTAAAAGACAGAGTTTATAATGAGTTTATACTGATATTTCCAATTCAAAGAAGTTTTACAAACCTAAATTAAACTTTAATTTTTTTTTTTATTAAATCATAGCTTTGTACATGAATGAAGTCATGGGGTACAATGTGCTGGTTTTATATACAATTTGAAATATTTTCATCAAACTGGCTAACATAGCCTTCATGATTTAAATGTTTATATTTATATCTTTAGTCCCTAATGCTACAAGTCTTTGTCCTAGTGACATTAACATAATTACTTTTTGCTTTTAGGAGCTCAGCCTACAGCCTACTTCTTCAGCCCTTCTGATGTTTTTGTGAAGCTTTTAAAATCCTTTTGAAAATTCCTCCCTCTGTAAACCCTTTGAGGTGAGTTTTCTGTAACTGAACCCTGAGTATAAACAGTGTGGGCAGGAGTTAGGACTCTGCCTTGCCCATGTAGCTGCTCACCAGTGAGCCACTTTAGGCAAATGTAGATACTCATGGCATGGCCTCTATAGTGAGAGAACGATTATAAGTTCATTAAACAGATCCAGTCACTCAGTCTTTTCTATTTCCCTGCAAATCCCAGTTCACCAAAATTTGAGTTTCTGTTTTTCAAAAGCAGCCTCTTATTCTGTTTCCCTAAATCAGACTTTGGTGAATACAGTAGGTCAAGCCCAGAGCAGATAATACAGCATCTTCTCTTAATTGTGGATCCTGGTCATTTTAAGAAGGCCCTTCAGAGCCCAGCCCATTATTTCAGGGTGGATAAGAAGTCCAGGGAATGAATGCACATGGGTGAAAAGAATGGGAGATCTGGAGTTAGTTTGTTACTCCATGGGCCGTGGGGACTGGACTGGGCCTTTGCCCCATGAGTTGGACATTCTCATAATGTTCCATGGTGTCGTCATCCTTAGAACAGACATTTCCAGCTGAGTTATCTGGCAGCTGTGTCTTCACCTCCGAGTAGACCACTGAGCCATGCTGGAAAGGGAGGAAGACGGCAGTGGAAGGAGAGGAGTGTGAGGCTGTGGGTAACAATGGGAGAGGGTGCAGTGAGGAAGCGGAACTCACCTTGTCCTCCAGAAGTGTCCTGGGGGTACCGGCTGTGGAGGGAAAAGGAACCACTGAACTACAGGCATAAGAATCCACTTAGAACCCTGTCTACTCGCTTATTCCTTAGCGTCTGGGAGCCAGTAGGTCCTTTCTGTAGATTGCTGTGACCCAATACTTAAGTGCTATTTGATTACTTGTTTTATAATTTCTTAACCCAGCCCTCTGAAAGTTCTCACTTCCATTATTCTGTAAAGCGCTCCCTCAATACCACAGTGAGAAACCTCAGTCCCTTCCTCTTCCAGAGGCTGAGAAATTTCTTAATTTTAACTCTTAACTTACAGTATGTGCATCTCTCCATCCCCAGTTATTTGGCAAGTTCTCACTGGAGCTATCCATATGAGAACTCCTCTTACATTAGATTTTGATTTTATTGCCCCGGTTTCCCAGAGATGGAGCCACAGTCAGAGGAAAGTTTAGCAGGTCTGATTCATTTGTCAATGCATATTAGAAATCAAGAGTCTCAGAGGAAAAGGTATAATTATCAGAGCAACATAGTAATTTTAGGGCAAGAGAGCTTAAAAAGATATACCGGGGACACTTGAGGTTTCTGTTTCTTACCACAAATCTTTTGGGGTTACTGATTTTGTAATGATATGATAAAAGTTACAGGCTCTTTTCCCTAGAATAATGCTCATATGCACAGAACTTCTCATATGCTTTCAAAGTCTTCATGCAAATGCTGAACAGGTGAAATGCTGTCTACTGATCATTAATACTTTAAGCACCTAAAACATAACTAGGCCATCAATAGCATGCCTGGCTCAAATAGTGTTGACAAATATGTCAAGGACAGAGTGTGACGAACAGCAAAATGATCAAGGTGTTTCTATGAGATGTGCTCAGTCAACCCAAGAAAACTAGTTCAAATGCTACTGTTTGAAGGGTCTTGATTAATGGAGGTGGATCAGGGAGCAAAGTGACAGGCGAAGCAGGGATCAAGTGATATATTTTGGTCAAATATAGTAATGGGCTGTATGAGCAGCAAATATTGTAGTGAGATGGAAGAGTCAGTCTTCGTGTTATCTTTTACTGGCTTTGTGACCCTGAGAAAGTCTTGAGCCTCCGAGTCCTACACACAGTACTTGATTTGTAAAACGGGTTCAGCGTCAGGTTACAGCTGAAATTCCCACTAGGCACAAAGATATTGGAGATTTTTAATTCTCAAGTGAGGTGCCATATGTAGATGTATAATGTCAATAGAATAATTTCTTTGATTCGAAGAGGTTAGGTTAATCAACCAAATCAAGGTAGCGTGAGGAGAAAAGGACAGATTTGCTGAAGAGATTTCTTTAGAAGGAGAGAGAACTTTTTGTGCAGTGTGTCTCGACCCAGCCGCGTTACCGGGTGAGTGTGTGTTGAGGGGAGGTTGCTACTTTCTCATCCCCAGCCTGCTGAGGAGGCTCTCAGAGGTCCTCTTGAACCTCTGAAATGATTCTGAAGTGATCTCCCTGATACTGGGATAAGAACTAGCCAAAGTAGGCCACAGGTTACACACAGGTTACAGGCACCTGGAGCAGTGTTCTTCTAACAGCAGATCTCGATTCACATCTTGAAATGGGGTTCACGTAAGTTTAAAGAAGCGAAGTAGAACTGCTCATTCTGGGCAGGTCGAACAACAAAGACTGGATTTACCTCCCCAGTTTAAACAACCAGAAAAAAAGGGCAAATCAGTGGTTTTTAGGCATCAGACAATCAGCTCTCATCAGGCATCAGACGATAGGCTGCCATGAGGGAAAAGAGGCAGACAAGCCGAGCCCACCGGTGGTGCCAGCTGACCACCAAGCTGAGAAACAGACCGCAGAGCCTAGATAGAACCAGCTTCTGACTTGAAGTAACAGAGACCAACAGTTCTGTAATGCTATAGCAGCTGGAATCCACAGGACCGTGCCAGAGAAAGATCAGTGAGGCAGATCAAAAGCTCCAGGGAGCTTCAGGAAGTTCTCCTCAAGCCTTTGGGATACTGCGTTAACTCTCACATATTTGCCTGTCTTAGGAAGGGTAAGAGCCACTAGGAAAGAACAGGCAGAATAATTCCAGAACCTCATGCAGATCTTTTAATAAGGGGCCATCTGACACAGAATTGTCAGAAATGCACTGTCTTAATATTAGGGCTAGATGAGCCCTCCTTTAAAGTTTGGTCAGGACTTGCTTAAAAGCAAGCCTCCAAAGGATCCAACTTATACCAAGTCACTTGCTCCAGAACAATCTTTAAAATCTAGTACTAATCAAAGGAATATAGTAACATAAAATGCACATTTTTCACTATTTACTAAAAATTGTCTTACATGGTGTCACATATGAATGTTCTCACTGGGCAACCTTAGTACATATACCACTGAGATCATAACTTCTATCAGAAGCATGCTTATCTTTTGTTCTGATTGTTAACAAAAATACATTGTGTATTTTCCAGGCAAACCTTAGGGAACAGGTGAAGAAATATTTCTTCATGTCACTATTTAGCTTTTCAAGTATTAATAACTAGCCAATCAACAGAATGCTCAGCTTAAGTAGTATTTTTTTGTTTTTTTGTTTTTTGCAGTTTTTGGCTGAGGCTGGGTTTGAACTCACCATCTCCGGTATAGGTGGACGGTGCCCTACTCCTTTGAGCCACAGGCGCCGCCCAGCTTAAGTAGTGTTTTCACAAATACTGTATTTTGCCATGTAAAATGTGCTTCCACATATGATGTGTAACCACGTTTCTGGCCCAAACGTTCAGGAAAGCACTTCTTGAGATAGTGGCCAGCTCCCAGCCAGGAGACCTCTGGGGAGGGCTAACACTCACCTGGTAAACATGCAGATCACACCGCCCTCTGTACTTGCCTGCTCTGTAAAGACTGCAACCCACCTCACCAGCCCTACAAGCCCCTAGCCTGATTATGATTCTCAGAGAAGGGTTCTCTGGCTCATCCCAAGATCTCCTGGACTGGAACCCCACATGCCTGGCAGGACCAGACAGGAGAGCACAGCAGCCTCCCTGCTCCTAAGCATCCTTACTGTTTTCTCACAAATTTAGGCCAAATAAAGGTGCATTACACATAGAAAAATATAGTACATCAGGGACAGAGAGCAAAGAATAGCAGAGAGATCAAGGTAGGGATCTTTTATAAGATGTGATCAATTAACCCAAGAAAATTGGTGGTAGTATGGTCTACCATTCAAAGGGTATGGTCTGTCATCCCTCTTTGGAATCCAAGCTCCCATATATAGGGATTTTTGTCAGCCTTCTTTATTTCCCATACTTATAATAGCACCTGGCACAAAGGAGGTGCTCAGTAAATATTTGTTAAAGGAATGAAAATAGTTTGCAGGCAGAGACATACCTTCCCCTCCTTTCCCCAGCTGAAGAGTCTGGATCTCAGAATATACCAAATCTCCTTCTTCGAGGTATACTAGAAAAAAAAGGACATTTTTGAGGCTGCCCAGGCCTCTTCCCAAGCATCCCCTCCATTCTTCCTGGACACACAATGAAATAATTATTTATTGGGAATATTTGGATTTGGGATATCATAGGGAGATGGGGGGCATTGCCCAGCACATTATCTTTCCCTGGCTGAGGCCAGGAGAAACTTCCTGCAGGGAATCCTCACCATTGCCATTCAGTGGCCACAGCTCCACCTGGACAGGGCAGGCAGAATGAGAGGGCTCTCGCTGGCTGGGGGTAGAAAGGCTCCTGGGAGACACAGAAACACACAACAGCACCTTGAATATTGTGACGTTTGGGAGAGGTGAGACGGCCAGGGGGAAAGGCGGAGGAGAAATGGAACAGGGGGAAGTCAGCAGTTAATAGAGACTAGAAACCCAGAGTGGTTTAACTGGCACTTCAACAGGTCTAAAGAGTAAGACTGTTCTTTTGAAAGGAACCCTGGGGCTGTGGCCCGGACAGGCTGTTTGAAAACAAGGTCAGAGAGTCTCTGACGCGCTAGTAACAATCATCTTATAGTTAGAATAGTAACTCTTGGTTGGTTGAAAATACCAGGCTCAACACCAGGAGGTAGTGACTAAATGTCATATCTGGACCGTTCAAGAAGGAATTAGACATAATTCATGCCCCAGTCCCTACAGCACACCAAGGAAGAGGACCATATTTTCCAAATGGAAGTTAAGGACACAAAGTCTAATGAGTATATGTGCATTTCTGGGGCAAAAAAAAAAAAAAAAGCAGATGTAGATATTCCTGGGAAAATCTAGAACATTTGTAAAAATCTAGAATCTAGTCATTATATACATAGTTATAGCAACACACTATCTAAACATTCATACCAGAAATATTCCGTGCCAACCTAGAAAATCTATACCCGTTAGTATCATCCATTTAGATGACTAGATTACTTTCAAATAAGATATGCATCTAAATATTTGCAAAATCTGAAATATTGTTAGCCGACAAGCACATTTCTAGGAAGTTTCATTTTAGGCTGATTCAAGAAATGTGAAAATAGGAGCAACTAGCCACAGGATCCAAGAGATATAACTTGACCTAACTTTGTAAACCATATGGTTTTGCATATCGTGCACCTGGGAAATAAAAAAAGGCACTTGCAAAAGCTGAGGCCTCACCTGGTTTCATTTCTCCGGAAATCATCTGCAAAATAAAGCACAGGTGCATTCTCGTCAGTAGAGGGAGCACTTTCTCAGACTCTCATCTGGGCTCCCTACAGAGCCCATAGAGAAAGAAAATCCAGGTCCAGATTCTTACAAGAAGGCCTGAACAAAGCATAAAGCTTGGGGCCAGGGCTGCACACTCCTGGTTTGAATATGCAATTATCTGAGACTTTGTTAGAGCGCGTGTCTATGTTGAAATGCCTCAGGAAATATTAAATATGACCAAATCACTTTTGCAAAGTAGTGAGCTGTGGGTAGATTTCGAGGAACATCTGTGGCCAGGCCAGAGGAACCCTTGGGCTCTGACCCAGCTTTGCTAAGGAGACTTGTGGCCAAAAGTCCAGAGTGCCCTACACCCGGCCCAGTGTAGGGCACACAGAAGGTGCTCACAAGAGCTGGAGGACTGAACTGCATGGAGAGTGGAGGGATATAGATAATTACTCTAGAGCTGAAAAGGTTCTGTGCCCATCTTCTACCCCAGCATCTGAAACTGGCCTGACCTGGGCTAAGGCAAGGAGCCTTTGGACACACATAGCAGACAGAGCCTAGGAGGGACCCTCCCCAGGCTGACCTGAGGAGAGCAGGGCCCATGGAGCATGAGGTGGTAGGTTCAAGTTCGGACCCAGGGAAATCTGAGGCGGCAGAAGGATAGAAATTACCCAGATTCCATTCTCATTCATTTCTTCTGAGCTCTTCAGTTAATTTCAGATCTCTACTTACTGCAGATTTAGGATAGGCTGAAGTATCTCATTGGCCAGTTTGTATGAACCAAAGAAACTGCCCAAGTAAACTGTTCCAGATAAAGTCTTTAAGACTTTGCATTAAGAATTCTTGCCACTCATCCCTTCCTTTCACTTGACTAAATAAACCAGACCAGATACAAGCAGCTGTCACCCACTGTGTCTGTGTGGGAAACTGCCCTTTAAGGAAGGGGCATGTACTATGACTGTTGGGGGTAGCCAGTGGGGAATGGTGGCCTGGTGGTCACTGAGGCTGGCCTTAAGTGCAGGTGTCTGAGGCAGGGACATGATGAAACCCTATCAAAGGTAGGAGAAAAGCACAGACCTGATTTCCTCCAGTGCCAGTAGGAGAACAGCAGTGTCACAGCCAGGAGAAGGGTGCCACAGAGGCCTCCCACAGACCCCGCAACCGTTATGCTGCTTCTGTTACCTGAAGTCCCTGAGGAGAAAGAACCCATGTGAGTCCCAGTGGAGAGGCTCAGGGCTTGGAATGGGTGGGGTCCCCATCCCTGGGAGCAGAGGAATCGGAAAGACTGGGACTCATGAAAACACTTTGGGCCAGGTCCTGGTCAGAAAAAAAATCACTCTGGGCAGGCCAGGGTGGCACAGGAAATAGCTCCCTCCAGTGATGTCAGTGAATCATTTCAGAAACCAGCAATTTGGGGGAAGTCCTAATGTATATATTCTTGTAATCCGGCTTCCTGGGAATTTCCCCCAGACACCTGGAAAGATGGCATGTGATGGTGGTTTGAGCAGTGTCAGCAGTGTGTCTGACAGGGAAAGGCAAATATCACCACTGCTCAGGGCACTGGTCAAACCAGCAGTAACTCTGAAAGTACAGTTCATTAAAGTATATTGGGACCCACAATAAAATGGCACCAGCATCCCGCCTCATAGAGGCCTGCACCCAATGTGCTCTGAAGGGTAGAGAAAAAAAGACTGATGGAAAAATAGACATTGAAGTAAATTGTTAGAAGGTTCTGATTTTTCCACTGGGTCCATACTCCTCCATTCATTTCAAGAGAGATTTCATTCATTTCACTCATTCATTCAACAAACATCTACTGAAGCTACCACATGCTGGGTGCTGACAGAAGTCTTGATACAGCAGGGAGAGAGATAGTGAAGTCCCTGTACTCGTGGAGTTTCTGATCTAGGGAACAGAGACCGGCAATCAATAAATACATTTACATTTCCTGTGGTGATAAGAGCTAAAAAGCAAAAACTGAATAGGCAGACAAAGAGCAGGGGGTGGTGGTGCTTTTTGTACAGATCCTCAGTCCTCAGGTAAACCAAGCTCAGACTTCAGACACCAGAGAAGATCCAGACCTTAGAACCACAGCAACACAGACAATCATTTCCATTTATTTTCACCCATGACTTCTGGCATAGAGTAGCCACTGTCCAGCAAGGGCTGGGGACTATGTCTCTATCCTTCCCTTCCTGACAAAGCCAACAAACCTGTTTGACCAGAGAGGTTCCAATTTCAGTGTTCAAGAGGCAGCTGGCCCAGCCTCCCCCCACGACAACTGAACTACAGGGGTAGAACACAGGGAGGACCCCGGGGCAGAGCATCGTGGTCACAGTGTCCCATGTTGACTCTCTCACTGTTGTCTTCTGTGGCACCCACCTGTGCACCTGTGCAAAAATCGAGTCAGCCATACCTAGGCCTGGGATTCCAGATTCAATGGGCAGAAAGCAAGTTATTCCTATTTCCCTTCCATGCTATCCCTATTTCCTAGAAGTGACTCCTTTGGGGAAAATAATTGAAATTTGTCTTAGTTAGAAAGGCACAGATTATAAAACCAGATGGTTGGATTAGAATCCTAGCTCCATCACTTACTAGCTGTGTGGCCAGGGAAAGTTATTTAATCTCTCTGTGCCTCAGTTTTCTCATCTGTAAAATGGGGGTACTATTAGCTATTTACTATTGTTGAATTGAGTTGATATATGTAAAACAGTGCTTGTCTGTATATGTACTAGCTCTTATTTGTCCTGGGGTCTTAGGAACTTCATGCTCTCTCTGGTCAGCTTTGGGGACAGCCCATAGGTGAAACCTGATTCTACACAACACCACCCAGCCAGCCTCAGCCTGTGCTTTGGACTGAATGGTTTCCTCCACTCAAAATTCATACTTTGAAGCTGTCAATGTGACAGTATTTGGAGATGGTGCCTTTGGGAGTAGTTAGGTTTAGATCAATTCATGAGGATGGGGCTGTAAAGATGGACTTGGTGTCCTTCTAAAAAGAAACACCAAGAAGTTTGTTCTTGCTCTCTGCCACCTGATGATGCAGCAAGTCAGTCTTTCCCAAGCCAGCAAGAGCCCTCTCCAGACCCAGCTGGTGCTGTGATCTTGGACTTCTGTCCCCTAGAACCATGAGAAAATACGTTCGTGTTGCTAAGCCATCCATTCTGTGATTTTGTTAGGACAGTTGGAGCCAACCAAGGCAGGCCACTTTGTCCTAGTAGTCAAGGCTGCTACAGAGTTTCTCTCTTGCTATAAATTCTCCCATTTCTAAACACAGAGATTTCGCATAAAGTCCGCAAACAAAAGGTTTAGGAGGAAATCTCCCTGATTCCCATTAAATGTCAATTGAATTCTTGACATCTGTTTAATCTCTGATACCATCTATTTCCTTAGAGGATGACAGGATTTGCAAAGTATCCCGAGAATAAATGAAATTGTATATGTGAAGTGACCAGCTCACTGCCTGGATCAGGGGAGGCTGGCCCTTTTCATGACCTTAAACCTTAAAGGCAAGATGAATAATTTACACGTAAGTATGAACAGAATCACTGTTACCTCCCTCAGAGACTACAACCTCTGAACTGAGGTAAGCGGTTCCATATAAGAGTCTTCCTGGAGAAGAAGCACCCTCTAACAGTGACCTGATCTCAGGGCAGTCTTCTGGGGTGCCCTTTCAGTGTTGCTAACCCCTTTTCCCCGACCCGTGCTGATTGCCATTGGAATACCATTGGCTCAGTCTCAGCCCCTCCGTGCTAAGAATCACGCCCAATGTCACGTTACCCAAGCTGTTCTCAGATTGAGATACAAGCCCTTCTGTGGCCTCTCAGTCCCCTAGCCTGGGAAGGCCCCACTGATCACAAGAATTACCCCGAGGGAGTTGAAGGGAAAATTGAGCAGCAGCTGGGCCATTAGCATAGCAACCTCTTCCCAGAGGGGTCAAGGATGCTGTTCTGTCTGGCTGCACCTGTCAGAGCTGACAGCTCTCTGCTCACTTAGCACAGGCGACACTAAGAACTTGACTGAGTGATGCTTCTTTGGAGACCTTTGACATTGCTGTCTGAGCTGAAGAACTGCATTAAGGTTCAGATCCAGGCTGCTCTGGGACCTCATGCAAATTACCAAACCTCTGAACTTTACTTTCCTTTTCTGTAGAATAGAAATAATGGTATTTCCTAGGATTGCTATTGTGTTAAAGCATAGAGGCAGAAAAAGGAGAGCCAGAGAAAAGATGTACAGAACATTCATTCAACAAGTATTTATGGAATGACTCAGTCAAGCACTACCCCAGGCACGTGAGATACAATGGTGGTCAAAGTGAGGATCCATCCTCACAAGGCTGACAAGAATAGGAGAAGCCATCAAACAACATGGGCAAAGTGGCACAGCAGGCGGGGACAGTGCTGTGGCAGAGGGAGTGCTGGGATAAAGGGCTGCTGAGGGGCAAGGCTCGCTGAGCAGGTGAGGAGCATCCTGGGGGGGTACGGGAGTGATGGTGAGGACATTAGGGAAGAACAGTGCAAGGCCCTGAGGTGAGATGTGCCTGGAAGGTCTGAGGAGGAGGGAGAGGGTCAGGGTGGCTGGAGTGGAGGTGGAGGAGAGTGTAAGAGATGAGGTCAGGGTGATGGGCAGAGGGCTGCAGGGCCTGGTGAGTTCTTGAGAGGATGTTAGTTCTCACTCTGCAGGACAGAGGGAGCCAGGAGAGGATTTTGAGCAGGGGAGTAACATGATCTGACCTGTGATTTGAGTGTTCCCTCTGATGCTGCATTGAGAATAGGATCGGAAGCAACTGGCAAAGCAGAAGACAACTAGTCAGGATGTTATTACAAGGGATGCTGGTGGCGGAGACGGTGAGTCGTCAGATTCTGGCTATATGTTGAAGATGGATTCTAGGTGGATTGAACGTAGGGGAATGAAACGAAGAGTCAAGAAGGAGCCTCAGATTTATCGGCCTGAGCAGCTAAGAGAAGGGAGTCCTGTGTCAACCAAGAGGCAGCTTTAAACAGGAATTTATGTGGGGTGAAAACCAACAGCTTGGTTTTCCACAGTTGCTTATTAGCTATTCTTGGGGTGCTATCCAAGTACTGAAGTTAAGCACTTGGATATGTGGGTCTTGGGTTCAGACTGGAGGTTCAGGCTGCAGGTGGTGTTAGGAGTCGCAGCCTGTGGAAGTCTTCAGGTATTTAGAGGTACAAGGCTGGAGGTGATGGGGAGAGTGGCACAGAAAGAGAGTCTGAGAACAGAGCCCTGAAGGCCCCCAAATGTGGAGATTAGGAATAGGACCCAGAAAGGATACAGAGAGTTGTGTCTCAGAAGTCAAGAAGGAAAGTGTTTTAAGAAGGGAGGGATTAATCGTGTCAAAAGCTGGAGGCTGGGCACCCTGGCTCATGTTTGTAATCCTAGAACTTCAGGAGGCTGAAGCAGGAGGATCAGGACCAGGAGTGAGAGACCAGCCTGAGCAACATAACAAGATGTCCAAACACAAAATAAAGAAATTAGCTGGGCATCATGGTGCACACCTGTAGTGCCAGCATTTGGGAGGCTGAGCCCAGGAGTTTGAGGCTGCAGTGGTTATGATTGTGCCGCTACACTCTACCTTCGGCTATAGAGCCAGACCTTATCTCTAAAAAACAAGAAGCTGGAGGTAAAGTCAAGTAAAATGGAAATAGAATTCTCCATTGGCCTTAGCAGCATACACAGATCATTGGTCACCCTCACAAGAGTCACTTTGGTGGTGAAAGGCCAGCCTGATGGTGGCAGCTTTGAAAGAATGAGAGAAGGAAAGGGGGAATTTTGTTATAAAAGAAAAGCAGTGAAAACTAGCTTTTCAGTCACTTTCCAATGAAAGCTAGCTGTATCGGAATCCAGGGATGCAGCGAAAGCTGAGATGAAGGAGGAATTGCTGCCCGGCAGAGACCACTGGCTTAGTGCTAAGTCTGCTGAGTGGCGACAGGTACAGGTGGCACTTATCACTAGATGTGATAAGCTTTCTACCCTGACACAGACGGTCTAACTAGAATAATCCTGGACAAGCATTTTGGTGTTGTCTGATGTCCAGTGTGGCCTCTTGGAGACAGAGGAACAGAGGGATGTGAGCTAGAGCCAGGGATCCCCAAGGCAGGCTTAACTCGAGGGACAAAACTGAACTCTGCATCTTCCCTTACTTGTAAGTTTCCAGACCTGCATATGGTTTGGTTACCTAGAATCTTGCAAGTGCAGAGTGACAATGGCAGGCAGACCTCATGCATTTGGTTCCGTCAGACTTGAGTATCCTGCCGTGATGTGCTATGGACAACTCGCTGAAAGGAGAGGCCTGGCTGACGTTGTAGGGTGACAGCTATGCCCCACCTTTAAACATTACTCTTGAGGATCACAGTGCATGGATCCAAGCACAGACATGCAAAATCACCTCGAAGAGGCCACAAGTCTCCTGGCCAGCATTACCTCACTCATGCGTCCTCTGAGCTGGCTGAGTTATTAACTTGCTAATGGGAGAAATCATCTATCCCAGTGGAGGATGGAAAAATGGAAATAGAAAAATAGTCCCACTTATTCCTGATTTGAGAAAGTTTGCTGAGAATAAGTAAGGTCAGCAGAGATTATAACTCACCTCTCACAGTGACGTTTACCACACCACTCTGCACGGGGCCGTAGCTGTTGTCCGCAGTGCAGTAGTATCCCCCCGCGTGACTCTCCCTGATGACAGGAATCTCCAGCTCTGCCCTCTGGGAACGCTGAGTTTTCCACCCCAGACTCTCCGTGTCCTCTCTGTGCCAGGAGAATGTGGTGTCCCCTGTGCCTTCAGTCACAGAGCAAATGAGGACCAGCATCTCCCCTTCAATAGCCTGCCCCCCTGGGGGCTGGGTTTCTATGAGCACTCCAGACACAGGGATCCCTGCATAAAAGTGAGATGACAGGTGAGGGCTGGGGTTTGGATGGGGTCACTTTTTTTTTTTTTTTTTTTGCAGTTTTTTGGCTAGGCTGGGCACCCTTCTCCTTTGAGCCACAGGTGCCACCCGGGGTCACTTTTTATGTAACTTTAAGATATACTCTCAGCAGGTGCTAGCATTGTGGCCAACAGGCTGTGGAGTTTGGACCTAGGGCATCACTGAAGTGATAAGCTTTCCATCCTGACACACAGGGCCCCAGGAGAGGAAGATGGACAAGCACTGGGGGTTTCTCTGATGTCCTGGCTGGTGGTCTCAACTGTTTTAAGGGTTTGGTAATAGCAATAGTGGCTATCATGGCACTAGGCCAGACCACACCTATTTCCAAAAGTTCTGCTTTGGTACCTGAGAAAGGCTGGCATCTATTGTGTTTATCTTTCCGTATATGTGTCTCTTCTGCACCCATCAGATGCTCACACTGCTTGTTGTTCTAGCTCGTAAGAGATGATGCTTGCCTTCTAACTTTGTCCTAAGGTCTGGCATTCCAGAACCTGCCAGCTCAGCAGCAGGGCACCTTGCATTCTGGCTTCCTTTGTTTCCCCACAGCTGTCACTCTGAGGTGATAGAGTTCCAAAGGAAGACTGAATTTTTAGGGAAATGGAGGTAGCAAAGAAATCACGTACTGCTTTTATTACGGTACCTCCCTTCTCAGCCTTAGCCTGGTCCCCCTGTCAGAATGACAAAATCCATCTCTGTTGGGCAGTTCCCACACTCACCACCAGAGGGACAAAGACAGGCAGGGAAATCGCTCCCCACCCCCCAACTCCGACACTCACTTTGCACTTGGATCTGTAGCGGGAGGCTGTATTTGCTGACACTGCGGGTCTCTGTCTCAGTGCCACACCTATAGAAGCCTGAGTCCTCGCTCCAGATGGTTGGGATCTGGAATTCTGGGGACCTGTTTCTGTCTGACAGGTTACCCCCGTTGTCTCTGAAGAAGATGAAGTAAAGCGGAGTGTCTGACCTCTCTGGAGGAAGCTGTGTTTCACAGCTCAGGTTAACAGAGCTCCCCTCAGTAGGCTGGAAGACTGTGGCTTTCAGCTTTGGACGTGGAAACAGTTCTAGAGAGAAAATTCAGCGTCTCAGCATGAGTACTGAGCACTCTGGGAAAGACAGGCTTGGATGCTCAATTTGGGGAAGGTTCACATGGCAAGACCAGCTTAGCAAGCCCTCCTTTCTCTTCCCCACTTCCTCTGTCTCTTAGAGGACTTATGCCTCTCATCTACCCGTGGTTTCAATATCCACCTATTAATTCTCTCCTTACATGTTCAGTTTCCCCACCCTGACATTACTAAGCAGGTTTGTACAAAATGAAAGATTTACCTTGAACTTTGATCACTTTGAAAGTTGATCTAAATACAGCATTTTTGCTTTCAAATCCAATGCATCGATAAGTGCCATCATTCTTTGAACTTGCTTGTGGGATGAGAAGATCCTGGCTTTCATTAGAAGCAAAAAGAATTTTTCTATCCCAAATGTATTTCACAAGATTTAGTTTCTCTTTCCCCCTTCTCTGGCATCTCAGAACCAATGTGTCTCCTTCAAATACAGAATATGGGACCTGCAAGATGAAGGGCTCTGAAAATGACATGAACAGAAGATAAAATTCAGGGCACTCCTGCTACCTCTCTCCCCTGTGTCTTGAATTACAGAGGTTTTATTGTTCTATTTTCTGCCACAGGATTTAATCTTCTGATCCAAGCTTATGTCTCTCCTTCCAAATCAGCATGACACTCTTCAGATACAGTTCCTAAGTAAACCCCAAATACATCTATCCAATTATTCAAGGTCAGGTTCAAAATATAACATCCTGATACAGAGGGAAAAAGCTGAGGGGAGGTGTGAACAAAATCCCCATTACAGAATATGGCGAAATTTAACACCGACCTGCTCACTGAGTCTTAGCAGGAGCTATCAAAATAGCAGCATTTGAAGAACTTCACAAGGAAGTATGGATGCTCTGGAGTATTCCACCCTGAAGGATTATCATCCACAAGGAATATGGCCCTCCCTGAGCCTTCTCATGTGGCTCAGATTCTAATTTGCAGTTAGCACTATTCTTAAAGGACTGCAATGAATGCCTACTACCAAAGCTCTATGCCCATGGAGGTGATCCAAATCACTTCCTCTAAACTAGGCAAAACTGGGCAGGAAGAAATGTGTTATCTTGATTCCACTCAGATAGAAAGGAATAAAGGAGGGACAGAGAACAGAAGTTGGAGATTTCCTGCCTCCGACCTCCTATGGCACTTCGCACTGTTTTGTGCTCGGCGCATTCACGTGTAATTTCTCCCTGACACTACGAAGTCCTCCAGGGCAGGTTTTCAGATAGCTTCTTTTTGCAGTTTTTGGCTGGAGCTGGGTTTGAACCTGCCACCTCCGGCATATGGAGCCGGCGCCCTACTCCTTTGAGCCACAGGCGCCACCCTCAGACAGCTTCATTTTTGTATCCCCAAAACTAATTTCCTCGACTATGTAAGTATAAAACAATGTTGATTAATATTAAACATTTATTTATTGAGACAAAGTGTTACTATGTCACCCTTGGTAGAGTATGGTGGTATCATAGCTCACAGCAACCTCAAACTCTTGGGCTCAAGTGATTCTCTTGCCTCAGCCTCCCAAGTAGCTGGGACTACAGGCACCCGCCACAAAGCCCAGCTATTTCTAGAGACAAGGTCTCACTCTGGCTCAGGCTGGTCTTGAACCTGTGACCTCAGGCAGTCTGCCAGCCTGAGCTTCCCAGAGTGCTAGGATTACAGGTGTAAGCCACCATGCCTGGCCTAATATTAAACATTTAAACTCAAGTTTCAGTAGTAGCCTGGAAAACTCCCATGGACAACAAGGGAGAATGGGAAACAGAGCAGATGAGGCCAAGGGTTAGAGGGGAATGAAAGACCCCAGTTATTGGAACTCCAGGGAGCTAGGATGAACCAGAAACCATTTCTAAAGTTTGAACTATGATAATTCACCTTCTCACCTGAGGAGAAGAACAGGCGCACAGGATTACTTAGGGGTGAGTCCCCGGTCTGGCAACGGTACTCTCCAGATTCACAGACCTCGAGGGTGTTTCCTAGGGTTTTTATCTCTTTCCCAGAAGAGCGATGTTCCCATTTTGTTTTCTGTGATGGGTAGAGGTGAAACCCATTGCAAGTCAGAGTCACTACGTCCCCTTGGAAGACAGTGGTCCACGGAGGTTGAAGGGAAATCACAGGTTTGCGTGCAGTTTCTGAGAAGAGAAATGGGTCAGAGGAGGAGCCTCCAGGCCCAGCCACAGGGATCAGTGTGGGACAGACTGGAGGACCTAGCTTTGGAGGGAGGACCCTAAGGCAGCCCCTGGGGTGGGGCGGGGGCTGAAGTTTCCTCAGATGTGCTCATTTTGACCCTGGTTCCAGGGACTGCTCAGTGTCTACAGGAGCAGATAGGCCGTTCAAAGGGTGAACCTAGTGGGTCTCACTCACCACTGATGGGTGATGGGGCCTCAAAAACCCTCTTACCTTGTCTGGCAGACCCAGTCCTAGGGTGAAGAATTGGTAAAGTGTTTGTCCTGAACTCCCACGCAGGCTCCTTATCTCATACCTAAGATAAGGGTCTCTGTGTGGAGGGTACCAGAACACGCCATCTCCAAATTGGTTTCTGGATTTAGGATATGAATTATTTTGAGCTAAAGCCCATTGAGAAGCACTGGAAACAGGAAAAGCTCTAAACAGAGCATAAGTTTTTCTTTGGTCAAGAAAGTTTTCATTTGCAAAGGAAATTTGTTTGTAAAGGTGTTGTAATTGGCCTTCCAAGATGACCCGCTCCCTAAGTTACTTTTTGTTCTCTCCACAATATCTCAGACTGTCAGATCAATCAAGATTAACAAACAGAACATGGTAATCTTGTTAACTAACTTCTCCATGGGACTTCCTGATGGCTCACCATCCTCACCCACAGCTGACTCCTGACTCAGGTCACCTGCAGACCCACTGACTTCAACACCCACACATACCTGACTTGCAGCTCAGTCTACTATAAAAGGCCTGGCTCTCAGCTAGATTTGAGAAATATTACTAAAAGCTTGGTGCTTGTCCTTGGGGTGGCATCAGAGGATAGAGGACAAGTGGTTAAAGAAAAAAAGAGGAATTTATTGATTTGCCAGCAAATGAGGAAAAAGGCAGGCTCACATCTGAAAGTGCCACTGTCCTAATCAGAAGCAGAAATACAGGGCTTGTGAAGGGAGATTTTCAGCTGTTTGTAGTGGGAGAGTCTGATCTGTTCCATCTCAGGTGAATACAATCTTGGGACCTCTGCCCAGACTTACACTCAGACAGGTCCCTTAGTCCATCTCCTATGGCACAGGGAACAAAGGACACTCTCTTGTCCCTCCCTGAACACTGGCCTGAGACAAAGGTGTGGGTTTTAGATCTCAAGAAGGGGGAGGGGCACAGAAAACACTTTTATTCCCCTTTTTGGGTCATCCCATCTGTTAAAATATCTCCTGTGTAGGGTGATGCCTGTGGCTCAAAGGAGTAGGGCGCTGGCCACCAGAGGTGGCAGGTTCAAACCCAGCCCCAGCCAAAAAATTATAACAACAAACATTTCCTGTGTCCTAGCTGACATCAATTACAATAAAATCCTTCTCTGGGAATACTTGTGTCAGTAAGAGGTCCCAAGTAAGGGACCAAGGGTGGACCCCTTTTGGGTTTTGTAATGTTTTCCTTACCCATATCAGGAAGAGGTGAACTCTTGTCAACAGAGAATGCATTGGAATAAATGAGCATAACTAACCTTCCTAAACAACCCTTGTTTACATACATTTCCCAAATGTAAGGCAAGAGGTTGTAGCACAGAGGGTTCCCACAGACTTGGACAGAATAGAGGAAAACCAAGGAAATGAAGGTGACTATGACATGCCCTTTACTCAACTCCTAGCAGCCAGCAAGCAGGCATGGGGAACCTCCACCTTCATTTAGCTCGTGGACAGACAATCCAGCATAGTGTAAGTTTGCCCTGCAGATGGAAAGCCTCAGAGGCGTAGAAAGCAGCCAGAACAACATGGCTCCAATCAAGCACTAGTGACAATTACTTAAGATAACAGGCACCTGCCAGCTTTCTCATGGTTACTCATAACAGCCTGGCACCTCACAGCCTTCATACGAGAAAGCTTAATGGGCTCATCTTCTCCACACTGGCCAATTTTCCATAACCTGTCTCTCCTACCCAGAAGCCCCGACTCCTAAGATGATACCAGGTTGAATATCTCTTATCTGAAATGCTTAGGACCAAAAAGCTTCAGATTTTGAGTTTTTTTAGATTTTAGAGTATTTGCATTAGACTTATCAGCTGAGCATCCCTAATCAGAAATCTGAAATCCAGAATGTCCCAATAAGCATTTGAGTGTCATGTTAGCACTCAAAAAACTTTAGATTTTGGAACATTTTGGATTTCAGGCTTTCAAACTGGAATGTGTAACCTGTACTAACCTCCATCACGTGGCTCCCTTCTTGAGCAATGTTTTTCTTTGTAAGGTCCCCTGTGTATGTATGTGATCAAAACTTATTCTTTTGTTAATCTGCTTTTTATCAATTCGATTCATGGTCCCTGGCCAATAAACCTGTGGGGGACAAAGAAAAATGTCTCTTTCACTGTCTTAAGGTTTGCTCAAAAATCAGCCGACAAAAGGCAAATCAATTGGAGAAACACCATGCAAATTAACATGCACGAGGGAGAATTACCAAATATTCCCAATGGGACCCAGATAGCTTTTTGTTTTTTCCAGAGGAAAAGGGTGAGGGGTGGAATATAGGTAACTCTACTGAGGGCAATAAATAATTCCTGGAGAGAATGAATGTATCAGGGGACAGATTAACTTGTAAATGGTTCTCCGTGGAAATTAAAAGAGCATGAGAGACATACATTACCTTGTGAAATGGTCGGTTCAGGTGTGGTTACTTTCTTCATTTTTCTTTTCTGCAATAGGTAATACTAACAGGGATGGGAAGGAAAAACAATTATTTTCCTCTGTGGGTCTGCTGAGTCTTTCTGTAGATAGGGGAAATGTCTCTCCCAGGGTCTGTTGATCTTTAAGGGCCTTTAATTCAAAATACTCATGTCAGGCAGCCATATTTTAAGATAAAACAGTTTAGTTTTTTTCACACCTGAAAAGGGTAGAGGGAAAGCTTTTTTCGCCCCACTCCTCTACATGTGGCATGGGCATGTGGTAGGATAGGGGTTATAGGTGGAGGGAGGATAGACACTCAGGAGTCAATTACACAGTCATGGGAAGGGATCTAAGTTGGGTTTTCACTGACAAGAAGAGGTGGGGGAGAGGCCAGCGGGCTGTGTCCAGAGTAAGAAATACATCCAGGTAGCTGAAAGAGTAAGCATGCAGGGAGCTAGGGACTCCCAACTCAAACCTCAGACCCTCTCTTGTGACAATAAAATACCAACCATGCATGAAATTGGGCCCTAAGATCTTAGAAACAGTGATGGGCAGAAACTGGAGAAAGAGTAAATAAACACAAACTACATAAGGAGAGAGACTTCTCCCTGTCTTCTTTTTCTTTCAGAATTTCTTTCTCTGTCCTTTCCAAATGTATGTAAATCTTCATAATGGCTAAACAAGGCCCCAGCCAGTCTCACCACTCAAGAAAGCCCTGGGAGCCTTTTTTTTTTTTTAAATTTCAGATTAATATATAGGTCCATCTTTTTGAATGTAACAGCTGGAGAGTGAGTTCCCCTGTCTCCCAGTTCTATGGGAGGATGAGGGGAAGATAGTTAAATTAGGCTTTCACCTGAAGACCACAAGTCTTCAGATTGGTGCCCAGTTATTTTGAATAACCACGATTAAGCCGGCGGGTGCCATGTTTTCCCAACTAATCATCATTAGTGTTTAATATGGAGCCACAGTGGCTCCAGCTACTCTATAAGGTCCCAAGGCTTGCCACCTGGGGGAAAAGAGAAGATTCCTCTGCTGGCTTTTCTGGCCCCACACTGGCTGAAGGGAGATGTTCCCATGTCTGTTCTCTGGCCACCACCAGTTGGATAAAGGGCATGTTGTTGCTGGAATTTCTCTCAGTGGGTCCTTGATCTTGAGGTTTGAAGAATAAAATGATGGGCCATGTGAATAAGTGACAGGACAGAGTTTATTGAGGGAAATTGATAGATTGTTAAATAAAAGAGGGGGGACTGAAGTGGGGAGTCCCCTGTGCTTTCTCTCCAGGGGTTTACACTCGGCTGTTCCTACCCTGAGGTCAGAAGGTTTGGAGGAAGTTTGTCACAAGTGGCCAGAAGTCTGTGGGCAGAAAATAATCCTAAAATTAGTACAGGCGTGTGGTCCGTGGAGTTCTTGCCTCAGGCATCAGGGTGTTTGCCTCGGTTCTAGGAGGAACCTCCAGAACCCATCAGGCTGCTTTTTCATGATCTTACTTGAATGTGGCCGGAAAAGGGTCTGTCTGTGCCTAGAGACAGGGGTTTGTGATGAGACTGATTTCTGAGGTCACTTGGGCCTAGAAAGTGTGTGTGGGGTCCCTGTATTTCTGTCACAGCTACCCTCGGCTCCTTAGTTCTGTTTTTGGTTTGTCTAAGTCCAGTGGCAACCTTTTCAGCCTCAAACATTGTTACAGAGAGTAGGAGCTAAACTTCGCAGGCTCACCTCGCTCCAATCTGCAAAACGACCTGCGGTAGTGAGGACAGGTTTGTTTCTCCTCCAGAGAAAATCCAGTTAACACAGGTCTTCCCAGGACTGTGATAAAGGTGCTACAGGCCCTTCTACTTGAGGACCAGTGTTTATCGTAAACAAGGATACATGGCCACATAAAGGGATGAGGTTCCCTTCTGTCTTTGCAATCTAGCCAACGGCTGTGATGCTCCTCTCACTGTTTTATTGTTTAATGTTTCCTTTCTGGCATGGTGGCTCATGCCTGTAATCCTGACACTCTGAGAGACCAAGGCAGTGGACTACTTGAGCTCACGAGTTCAAGACCAGCCTGAGCTAAAGTAAGACCCCATGTCTACTAAAAATAGAAAAACTGAGGGAAGAGGATCACTTGAGTTTGAGTTGGAGGTTTCTGTGAGCTATGACGCCATGGCACTCTACCCAGGATGACAGCTTGAGACTCTCTTAAAAAATAATGTTTCCTTTCTCTACTACCCTATGGAGAGGATTTCTGGGTTGGGAGACTTTATTTTTAATTATATTCTAATAAGAAACTTATCACAGCTCTTCTTAATCTGAGTGGTTATTTTCTGAGTTTTGTGGTTTTAGGTTTGTGAGGGCTGGGGGGGGGGAGCTAATGCAGCCACGCACAAATGCTTTCCCCCCTTCCTCCTCCACTCCTCCTAAGACAAAGACACAAAGGATCTGGCTAGACCACCCTCCTGAGAAGTTCCCACCAGAAGACTCTAATAAGACTTTGCTAATGGTTCTAAGACTTGCCCACCCCCTACAGCCCCACATAAAAAAGGTTTCTAACTGCCCCCAGGCACAGATACCATCTTTGCCTTGCCCAGGCCGGTCACTGTCCCTTTCAATAACCTTGGCCTGAACATGTCCACTGTGGCCTCATCTCTGGGACACATCGTTTACATCTTTCAAGGGCTAACAACAAAAGTAATTACAACACAAATTATTCCCTATTA